AGGAAGAAGAGCCGGCAGCCATAGCCGACCGGGGAGTTGACCGAGAGGGTTGACCGGGGGTGTTGACCGGCGTTACTAGAGTTGACCGGGGATTGACCGAGGGTTGACCGCAGAGTTGACCGGCGTTGACCAAGACCGTTGACCAAGACTTTGACCAAGCTGGAGTTGGTAACATCTCGCCAAACCCTTACGCCTACCCCTTGGGCTATGGATGTGCACATACCCCTTGGTACTTGCTGAGTACAGTCTGTCTGTCTATTCTTTCTGCATTGAGTCTCTTCTGTCCTAGGTCATAGTACTCTGTGGATGAAGGATAGGGCTTGGATGACGAAACCCTAGTCTGACCTTGTAGGGCTAAGACTGTGGCTGATCCAACTTTCCAGGGGGGCATAACCCTCCCAAGGACCGGTGCTGACCGGCTGGAAACGGTTGGTAGGACTCAGTGGGCCTGAACGGCAGTTAGGGCTGACACGCTAGGCAATCTTTAAGTGTTGAGGGCCTGTTTGAACCACTCCCCTACCGGACCAAGTAAGGCTGAGGATCTGTGTCTGACGACTCGCCTGTCCCGGAGGTCAAACCCTCCCAAGGACCGGTACAGACCGGCGAGCTGCTCGGTGTGGCACAGTAGGCCGGAAAGGCTGAGTTGTGGGCTGAAAGCACAGGCAGAACCAAGCTGATCACGTCGTCCTGTCTGATTTGTTAAAAAATTCTTGAGGAGTTACGGGGAATCTCCTTAAATGCCTCCTGATCAGCCACTGGTTCAGTAGTGACAGCCATAGCATAGGTCTAGGCTAGAGACCATAGTTGACAGGGTCCTTGTCAAGATTCTGTAAGTCTTAGATTGAGTCTATAGGTTTGTCAGTCAGGGGTCAGAGTCTACGTGGTGAGGTATGGAACCACTAACCCGGTTGTACACTTATCACCATGGTTGGGATCCGTAGTGGGTTAGAGACTAGCCCCTATAGTAAGGAGCAGCAAGAAAAGATGGTCGCCTTAGTCCAAGAGAATAGGGAGAGAAAAGAGCGTGAGAAGCAAGCGAAGCTAAAGGCTATCGCAGACGTTGTTGAAGCAGAAGCGGCAGCAGAAGAAGAGAAAGAGAGAATGAGGATTGAGAGGGGAGAAGGAAGCAGTGGTGGCACGATGAAGAGGGAGACAGATATTGAGATGGAGAAGAAGATCAGTGAGTGGGTCGCTAATTTATCGTTGGGTGAAGAGGAGGAGGCAGAGTCCTATGTGACTGAGGATGAAAGGGCTGCGCTAGCCAGTGAGCTAGCAACAATGACATATCCGATGGAAAGGCGAGAAAGGGAGGAGGAGCAGAAACTGGCATGGAAGTTGAGGATGAAGCGAGAGAAGAAGAGGAGGAAGTGAGTAAGATGACTGCAGAGGTAGCGAAGGTGCAAGCGTGCAGGCAAGAGGTGTTGGCCCAGCCAGATGATAGGGCCAAGTGGGACAAGGTACTCGGGTACCTGGAGTGTTGAGCAACGCCTGGATGGAAGAGCGCCAGGCTAGTTGGAGCCAAGATGTAGCCTTGAGTGCCATGCGGTCAGGGTTTCAAGATGTAGCCTTGAGTGCCATGCGGTCAGGGTTTAGAGACTTTGCGCGCGAGATCGTCACCCATATTGGGGGCAAAGTTAAGCAATTGAGAGACAATGTAGGGAAGTTTTGTGAGGGCGCCATTCAGGGTGCCAAAGCTGTAGCCGCTGTAGAGGGAGAGACCAAACCCCGTAAGGACCCAGTGAAACTTAAGTTCCCAGATGCGTACGGGGGAAAGAAGGAAGAAAACTTTGACAACTGGGAAGCCAGTGTCAATAGTTATATTTATTTGCAGCATATCTTGGTCGAGGAACAAGTCCTTGTGGCCTTCCAGGCCCTCAAAGATGAAGCGGGTAGTTTCGCCAAGTCTCTTGCGCGTACAGCCGGTTGTGAAAACAACCTGGTTGCATATTCCAAAGTCACCCCTCTTTCCCAATTCCTCAAGCTCCTCAAGGAGCGGTTCGCTGACCCAACGCGAGGCATTAGAGCCTCTGACAAGCTGCAAACGATCCACTCACGACAGTGGAGGAGTGCCAGGGCACTCAAGGGTACCATGAACGACTTAGTGGCCGTCCCGGACCATGGGGTCACTGAGACCCAGTTGGTCCAATTGTTTTATCGTGCCATACCAGAGGCCCTGTGTGGGCATTTCTTTGACAAGTTTCAGCAGGCCGGCATCACTTATGATGCACTGAGTAGAGAAGTCGTCCTGTATGAGTCGAAGTCTATGCCAGTTACCACTTTCTGGCATAAGGACCTGGAA